TATGAATTAGACTATTTTGGGTAGCTCATATAAATAAAATCATATAATATTTGTCTTTTTGTTTCTGGCTTATTTCACTTAGCATAATTTCAACAGATTTATCCATGTTGTATCATGTATAAACTTGAGCCCAGGAGTTTTCAAGTATATCCTGGGCAGTATAGCAAGACTCTGTCTCCAAAAAAAGGAACAAAATTATAACAAATTCAATTTAAAAATTTCACTTGGCTTCATTTCTAATACTAGAATCAGCCAACACTTCACTCTATAAAGTAAGTGTTCCTGTTAATTAAGTGCTGAAATTTGAAAGTCAAAGATAATACTTGTTTAGGATTTGAAAATGACTTAGAATCATCTTAGTTGTTTAGCGCTTTTGCTTGGAATTGGAATACGTAATTTACTTTCAAATTATCTAGAATTCTGCACTGCTCAAGTATTCAGCTGATTGCAAAATATACCTTGGAAACCGTTTGTATGGAATTGTTCAGAGCCTTCCCGTAGAAGATTTATTTGAAGAAAAGTCCTTTAAAGTTCTTGAATATATTTTGTGTCTCTTAAAGCAGGTGGGTGAAGAAAGGGATGTATAAATTCTGGGAATCCTCTTAGGGCTTTTTAATCAATATGTTTTGCACAAATAGATGTAGTTAATACTCAGTGACCAGAAGCTAAACCAGTCCTGCAACCTGTCCTGGTCTTTAGGCCGTGTGAGTATAGTACTTCGTAATAAAGCTATTGGATTACAATTTATAGATGCCTAAAGATGTCCTAGTAAGGCATCATACCAGGAAGGCATAAGGTTGACATCAACAGAACCATGGACAAACTGAAAACATGAACTGTGTTGCCAAAGAGTTAAAGAAATTTAGAGAAAATGCCTGTAAAAGGCATAACTGTTTCTATAGAAAAGATAGCAATCAGATCAAATAAACTGGTACTTTTGTATCTTTAAAGAACTCTTTTCCACCTTATATGTGTTGATTTTGTTATTTTTATTTCAGGATTTGAAATGAGAAGGAAGTTTTCTTGTTTCAGAGTCTTTTAATACCTACAGAGTACTGTTATTGCACTTAGCATATTGATGTCTGTGGAACATGGAAATTCATTATACACCTTTGAACTATTCAAGGGTCAGGGAATTGGTCCCCATGCAGTTCAAGCTTGTGTGTTGTTCAAGCATATTGAACAACAAAATGGTATTTTTACCATTTGTAATTTCTTAAGGAAATATACATGTGTGGCTATAAAATAGGAAATTGTGCATTTTTAAACTTAGATGTGAAGTAACTATTGTTTCTAGACAGTAGGAAAAGATACTCTAAATATTGTAATATTAGGAATTAGGAAATTAAGTGAAGCATTTAGGCGGCACTGATTGAGCACCCATTCCAAGAGGTGTGTAAAGTTACTTAGTGATTTGTTTGTGGCCCAATATGGGATCAGCAACCCCTACGAAGACCAAAACGTTGACTTTTCTCTTCCCTTTCAAAGTTAAATTCCTGTAGTAAGTTCTCGCTGTATGATTTGAGAGTAGTGTGAAAATTTAGTCCAGCAGTGATAATGTGAAATAAATCTACCAGGCCTTAAAAAATTATTTGTTAAAAGATAAGCTTTTAAAAGATTATTATAATGGGATCTAGGTTGTACATTCCTAGAATAATGACGCTTGTCTAGAGCTGTGGCAATGCTTTATTGATCCATGTTAGCTTTGTTTTTATTTGAGAATGTTTCTTTCACTGAGAGAAACAGAATTCATTTTGTTCCTTCCTCACATTCATCTATTAGGGTCAGTGTGATTGACATTTGTCTCTACTTTGAATGTCAGTGGTAGATACACAGGCTATTAAGCCCTACAGGTATTATGAGTGTGAAGACTATTTGAGGTGAATTGGCAGTAAGAACAAACTTTAGAAACAGGAGAGAGAACTACTCCAAGCCTACAAAAAGCTCTCTATTCCTTCCCAAGAAAACAGGGGTCTGACTTTTTGCCAGCTGAGGGGATGAATCTCACTGACTATTGCAGCAGCAGTAGGCCTGGTAAATTTTTCACTAGGAAAGCTTTTCTGGATTTGCTAAAATATATTAGTCAAGGGTACCTATGAACACTTTTAGAAGTAGAATGTTTGAGTTTGTTGATAAGATGTAAAGAATTGTAGTTATGTTTTAACAAAATGCTGTCTTAACCTAGTTAT